TGCGAGGCCAGTTGGTACCAATGCTAACGAAACCAATGGTGCTTCCATCTGGACTTATGCTTCTGTAGATGAAATGATAAAGTGATTTTTTAATTTGAAGTTCTCAATTGCCTTCTTCGCATGTAAATGACACCAATTGCATGCGCAAATTACCTAGTCTAATTTTAATTTTACGTTTTGAGAACCACGATGGGCTAGGGAATTATGTCAACCCACGAAATCGAAATAACTTGTGCTTTTGAGTGTCATTGCCCAATTTTTGCTCGTTTTCTCTGTTTGATTAATCATTTCCATCGTTCATCTTCTGTTCCCATAATTCATCGCTTTGTGGAAGTTACTTGATGTAGATTTCCTCATTCAATTACAGTGGTGAATACGGAACTAAAAAGGATCTAATAAATGTCTCCATGGCCATTGCAGAGGCCTCTGTAGATGTGACCAGCTGCGCTCGCGCACTCAGCAAGGAATGCACAGATAGACGAATGAAAACGGTAAGTTTTTATAACCCTACCAAATTAACTGGCTGAATCCGAGGAGTTTGGCCATGCCGGTTGTTGCGCTTGTGACGACGCTACGAGGTCGCTCGCTTCGACAGACCGTTTCGCATTACCGTGTATTTGGTTCTGTTTAAAGTTAATTATCTCGAGCCCCATTACCCTCACTCACATTTATGTCCTTGTTTAGTGTTTTTATCAACAGTATTACTTTTCCTAGAATCTCTTCCAACTAAGTGAACGAATTCAGATGATCGGCAATCAGCTAAAGATTCTCTCTACCGTCAAGGCCACTATGCTGGGCTCAGATGGTGTGTCCCCCTTCCTTTACATTTACCACATTCAACTATGCTTATGTAGGCTGTGTAGGTTACATCCATGTACCAAATGTTGCTGTTGTCATTATTTTTAATGGTAAACTGGAGACGCATGTACTCATACTCTCTTGCCACTAGGACTGGTCATTATTGATAGCACTTTGGCCTCGCGCTACAATCATCGAAAAATTGATAAAAAAACAACTTTTATATTCATTCTTCGTAGTTCAGCCAATAAATCTCATATTTAGTGATACAGGTAATGCGACAATAATCACGCGCCAAGATGCCTGGTGCCTTATTTGGCCTTTCGACACGCTTTCTTATGATCACAGAAATCGTAGTTATCTTTACGTCTAATCAAACGGCTTCAAACTAAATTTGCTTTAGGGCAACTAGGTGGAAGCTTAGTTTTAGCCCCTCCACCCCAGCCTAACTGTTTTCGCTAAAGTTCAAATGTCGGGTTTGCTTCTGCCGCACTATTGTATCGCGCTTCTGTTAGCCAAGAGCTAGAAGTTCTGGTCCTTTTCTAACCAACGCCAGCAAAAAAAATTACCCATCGATTAATTGTCGGAAGATTGATGTCCAGAATTTACACATGGAGACCGTTATTCATACCAGTCCTTACATAACCCTTCTGAAGGTTTAGGTGAATATCCGGTGACCTCAGAGCTTGAATGTGGTAAATGAATCTTTTTAAAAATGCGCATGTGCCTGATCTTTTGCATGTCCTATGCTTTATTGCATTGCTGAATTAGGAGCAGCCCGTGTCAACACCAGTAAACACTCCGGTTGGCTCTTTTTGTCGCAATTTTGGTCGAGTCGGTCTTGATCTCGCCCAGAGTCGAGCAACTTTCTGAATCGCGTAGTCGTGTCAGGGCAGCACCCATAGGCGTTGGGAAGACTCGAATCGCCCCCCATATTCAGCTACCAGTAGGCGAGGAGTTTCTCTTAGAATAGCTTATTATTATTAATCATGACTGTTACGCAGACAGACTGAACGTCGATACCTGAGCTGATTTATTAACTTGAAGAAGACACCCTGCCGATTGACTTTTGCACGCCCTCAACAATCAGCTTCACGAAATTATGGAGCGTAACTAATGACCCAGATTTGTTTTTCGCTTCTTCGAAATTACTTCCAACTTTTGTGCTTCATCTTCGGGTACATGATTTCAATTCAAAGTGGCAGTTTGTTAATGTAACTATGTGACGCTTCAGCCAGTGCACTTCTGTACGAAGCTTACGGCTCAAGTGGGCTAAATAGTGTTGGTTTTACCCTCAAACACGACCGTATGTAATGCACCCGACATATGTATCTGCCATTTACCCGCACGTCTTTTTTACAGCTATATTTTAACCTGCCTAGCTGCAAGTCCAAGCGTCATGCACTTTGTAATGAATCTTGTCATAATCCAAAGACGGCGTTCTCACTTGCTATTCAGATTCTCCCGAAGACCAGGAAAATACGGAGGTTCTGGTGGGGAACGCACAAAACTTGATGCAGGCCGTCATCGAGACTGTTCGAGTGGCTGAGGGCGCAAGCATCAAGATGCGAGTGGACAGCGGTTACAAGATCCGTTGGATGCCTCGACCCATCACCAACGGCGGCCTTAGATACATGGCAAAGTGAACAATTCACAGGCATGGGATGTTGCGTCTCCGACAATCAATCGAATCAGAGAAATGCCTTATCGTCTTGTGCCCCTCTTCTTTTCCATCTGCAATGAATTCGCATGCTTCATATAATGTCACGAAACGCGCAAAACCCCTCGTCCCACAAATCCCTAGCAACTTTTTAGTGTACCTGCGTGCACAGCTGGAAAACCCAAGTGTATTTAAAATAAGAAGCTTATTTGATTTCAGTGAATATCTTTTTGCGCACGCAAAGGACTAGTTGCAATCGCATCATAAAATTAGGATTATCATCCTTGTGGCAAGACTGATCGCCAGTGTAAAACAAAAACCGTCGTTTTCTATTAGCTTCATGCGTCAGAGGCGAACCCGCGAAATAAATCTTCGTGAATTTTAAACATGTAAACCAAAACAGGGAAGACTAGATTCCCGGTTGCTTGGTGCATTACCTGAGGCGAATTTTCTGTATTTTGCTGCATATTTGTGTGGTCAATCGTAATTTACATGACTCACTGTGGAGTCACTCGAAATCGGACACATCATGGCCCTCGACAATCCACACAACTGATGAGCACCCCGAAATGGGGCGACACCTGCGTATGCCGAATGTTCACCAAACAGAAATGCGCAGCGCGCTAATCAATTTGGTACCTTTACGGCAGCCAAATTTCCTTTATACTCCAACTGTAACTAATATCGGACAGTGTGGAGTCTCAGTCAATTCACTTGACCTCATATACAAGTATTTTAGTGGCCTTGGTGTTGTTGTCAGGAGCGCAACGCTTTTGGCGCTAATAGAATGTGGATTTGAATATTATGAACACGTTTAATTCATGCCTTACATCTGTTTAGTACCTGGAGTCATCCTGAATGTATAACATCACTTAACTGTATAGCGCTCCCAATATCCCTTTGATCTTAGAATAAGAGCCTGATTTATTAAATTCCGGGAAGCCAATCAAAAACTCTCAGGCCGATTTTTTGTAGAAACGGGATCTACCACAGATTAGTGGAGAACCCATATAAGAGGCTACAATACCCCTCTTCGGTAAAATTCCCAACTCGAAGTCGTTTTATGTGCCTTATGTCCAAGCCAACTAAAGTGAGATTAACTTGGTACATCGCCGGCTGTCGTTGCTCGTAGTCACAGGTAGACAATCTAACTTCAACTACACATTTTCCCAAGAAACACGGCTAAACGCCCTAAAACTGTAGGAATGTGTTGCTGGGGAGTGAAAACGGTCAGATGATGCACTAAGAAAGGTGTGCCCTTAAAACACATCACCTTAAGTTTTCACCACTGACACAATCCATCAAACATTAAATATGCGCAGATGTACAGGATCAAGTCAATTTTCACAATAAACGAGGAAGGTGTGACAGCAGATGGATTTGTGCAAATTACCTTGATAGGAACTATCGCTGCCAACGATGGTACTGCCAGCCTCTCAAATAATTGAAAGCATCTTCTTCAGTTCAACCATCAGCTTCCAGTCCTCCTTATTCAGATCATTTCGGTAGAATTCTTTGACAATGTCAATGCTGTCTCGAGAAATCTGCAAGGAAAGCGATAAAGTGATAATTAACAAACGCCAAACAATTTTTTAGGAAAAACGAAAATCAGCTGCCCCAGTGGGCCAATGTTAAAGTTGAAGTAAATGCATTCACAGAACGGTTAAGAGTGATTACGACAACAAATGCCGAGTACAAGAAACGGCACGGAATGTGTTTGGAAAAAACTGGTACATCCTTAGACATTATGATTCAAAACCTACTTTCGAGACGAGGACGTCGGTGTGATCAAAGTGACGCCCGTACAATTTCGGCGCTTCACCCTCGACAGGATCGATGCGAACACACACCTCTTGACCAGTGCGCGCTTCCTGGATAGCCTTGTGGTTGGATTCAATCGAGAAGACCTTACCGAGAACCACGTTGTCTCGAGACGGAACACAGATTGGAGTACCTTCGCGCAACAACCCTGCTTCTACATGCACGCCCATAACAATTGGAGCGCGTTTGTTGAACACCATATCTGGAAGAACGCGCAGTTTTACTGGGAAGACAGCTTGGTCCGCGTGTTTCTTGCGGTTCTCCCGCATCAGGGCCTCACTGTTATGGAATAGACCATTTTAACGCATAAACTAACACAGCTACTCAAGTCCACATAGTAAAATGCCTAGTACGTAAGCTGCATTAATTTATACCTATCTTAGAAAAAATCAAGGCGACTATTTGGCGGTGATGACTACAGCAAAATGCTCGACATTCCTTGAATTAGAAGATCATAAACCTTACCCCACGACCTAAAACCTATGTACTGAGGATAGGGCTATTGTGTTATTCACTTAAATAAATCCCTTGAATTTAAAAGTAGCACAAAAAGTGTACACATATTCTTCCATCCGCGTTTGGAGGTGATAGATGATGTTGGCCGTGAAGATTTGCACGCCAACCTCATTGGCCATTTTTTGAGCATCTTTGTCCACCTTCACGTCGAAGGCCAGGATAACGGCCCACTTGCGATCTCTTTCCACCATGATAGAGGCCTTCATCACGTCTTTTCTGTGCACTGTGCCAACACTGATCCCCGAGAACTGAATAACAAGCGAAAGAACAAAACGGAAACTGCATTCACCTCAGTCTAAGCCACGATGTTTCCAGGAAAACATTCGATTTTTTAGGAATTCAAGGACACCTTGTAATATTTCCAGGACCGCGAAACCAGGCACATCACCTGCGGTGTGGAGATTGACGACGCAGCAGAGAATGACATAGTCGTGTCGTAGCTCAAAAATCATATTCACAGCCATCTAAACGCCTATAGTTGTGGTCTGAAATCATATCAAACAAACTCTTCGAAACCCAAGACTGCCTTAAACTATTTAATAGGCCGATCCATAGCTACCACTTAAAGCCTACTTAAAAGTACATCGTAGACCAGAGTTTATCTGTCTCGTGACCGGCCTTTAACTTCTATCTACGCATTATTAAGAACCAATCGCAACAATACGTTATTGTGTATAAGTTTACGTTACGACACCATGCCCTAAATTAAAGTCACTAATACAGATATGCAGCCAACCAAAAGCATCTCGATTACTTTCAGAAAGAATTAAAAACAGCCATGCATCAAGGAAGGTAGGAAACAGCGGCCTGAGACGGGTTGAATCTCTTCTAAGTTCAGTAAACATGTTCAATCCGTAAAAAGAGCAAAATGTTTGAAGTTTTAGTTTGAAACGGGTAAGGCCAAGAAGCAACTTACAGGAATGTTAACTGATTTGAGATAAGTGAGCAAAGATTCAAGAGACCCAAGAGTGCTTGCCACCACGTAAACTCCCACGGGGCTGACAGCAATCGCCTTGAGTGCAGCCTTCAGGCCCCGGCTAACTTCGTCCTACGAAGCAAAATAAAGGTTTTGGGCAATGAAACAGATAAGCATTTAGCACATTCCAACCTTCTACCTGTTACTGATTCGTGCTTTAAATACATAGTTTTAAGACCAACGAGGAAGGGACATCGAAATTGTCTGAGGCCGCGACAACAGTAGCGAACGCGATTGAGCGGTGCAAAGTGTGAAAAAGTACGCAGAAAATAGAAAAAAAATGGCTAGGTAGCATCAAAATTCCGTCTTCCGGGCTTTAAAACTGAAGCGGAATCAAGAGTGCCAAATTTGAAAACCTTACCTAACGTTATCCCCAAATCACGTTGTGTCACCTTTCACAACAAAATCTCAGTACTGTTTATGGTGACACGTTCCATTCTCTGTTACTTAAAGGAAACAATGACACGACGCAGTTGATCTTCAACATTAATACGAGGAATTTTCACCTGCAATAGGTGATCATACGTCATTTTTCCGACCTTGAATTCACAGACAGAATTAATTTGCTTTGATAAAACAGCTGACCAAAAATGACGAATACACATATTCAAGATCAATATAACTGGTTGGAAGGTATGAATATATGAAAATGGAAAACCCGTCGCACGCCACACTCAATCGATTTCAAAAATCAGAGAAGCAACAACTTAACATCATCACATTTTATCAAAATCCAAAATTGCAACAACAACAACAGCAACAAATGCACATGACAGACAAAACTGCACATCACCAGAGCTTTGGAAAAGTATTAAGTTTTCGTGATGACTGGAGGCAGTGTAAATTTGACTCATATTCAGTAACAAATTTCAAAAAGGATGGCTTTAGTTTACCGATCAGATATTTTAGGACAGATTACCGCTGATTACAAAGTTACGTGGCAGGCATTCCACATATCCCTACTATTATGCAAGTTGTGTGACCCATGAGGGAGTCTTCCGGTGCTTGGGGTGTGCATCTCATTGTCACATATCAATTCTTTTCTTGGTAAGATATGCCTGTTAAAAGGAATTCTATTAATTTACTCGTAACCACCAAGTCAAGTTATGGCAGATATTGATTCACGGCAATGTTGCACAGAAAATTGGAAGGAAATTCGTACTGTATTAGGCTCAGTGGGAGAGGCTGCTAATTCCTTAGTGCTTGATAAAGATATCCAAGAAGCATGAGACAGAAACTTGAACGATTTTCAAACGACATAACTGGTGCAAAAAGTAGATAGGAAGGTGTGGGGTATAATTGAAATAAAAAAAGTGGTAAATTATGACGCAAAAAAACATTATAAGTCTGGCTAAAACTGAGCTAGCCTAGTGGGGCAAAGTAGACAGAAAGAAAAGGGTCTCACCTTGAAGTAGAGCTCTTCAGCTAGATCCGTAGCCACGTAGAGAGGGAGGCCAGCCAGTGCTTTCTCGAGATCGCGTGCTACAATCTTAACGCCCTGAGCACCCACCACTTCTTTCAAGTGTTCATAGGTACCTTTGACGCGCAGTTCAGACATGGGAGCGGGCATAAGGATGCTGCGCACCGTGGTCACTATAGGACCCTCCTGACCCGCCAGAACAATCGTGTCACCCTCATGAATACGACCGTTCACCACAATTACGTCCAAACTTGTTCCCAAACCAACCGTCTCCTTTACCTAAAGTTAAAAACTCCACATTGGTAGCAAAATTTATGCCATAAATAAATAAAATTAAGGGATTAGAACTGGAATTGCGTGCGATTACAAGTCTACACGATTTACAAAGAACACGAAGTGACTCATAAATAAGGCTAATTAACATAGGACTTCCAAGAGAGGATCATATAAAGCCCCCTGGATAATGAAAAACTGATTTTGGTAATATGCGGTCGGTAAATAAAACACGAGAGGCAAAGAGAACTGTCGTTATTTTAAAATATATTCTACTCAAATAGATGTGATCCTCACTATGGGGACTTATTGCGCTTCCAAAGTTCTGCAAGGTCCATATTATTATTAGAGTATTTGTGAATTTAACGAACACTTTAAAAATGTATGAAACTTTTTACAAAGAGCCCAGGAAACCGACGTCCTAGTATCCTAAATGTTCTGGCCTCAAAATGCCTTATATAAATATTTAGTTATTTTAGAAAAGTCTCGACTACAAATGAAAAAGTAGTTAAAATTTAAGAAATCACAGGCCTGAAATTTATTGTCGTGTCTACACTTTCCTAACTTATATCAACTGCATGCTAAAGGCAGCATTTAGGAAAGACAATGGGAATGTAGACCACACCGAACTGCAAGGATAAGTGTTTTTGACTCCCCATATCAAAAAAATACACGTTTAAACAATTACGCATTTCCAGGTAGTCATTAAGTGGGTTAACAAGCCGGTCCACTTACCAAATACCAGACACATTAGGGGCCTATAATTATCTAACTTACGAATTCATTTTAACAGCGGTTGAAAGCTACAGACCCCCTGACTAGTAAGCATGCAAAAAAGGAACCGCAAGTTTCGTTTCCTCTAATTACGCGACAAACTAAAAATAACTTATTTAAATACCAAAATGTGCGATTGAAAATTTATCTCGTATTCATATACGGTTTCTAGTTGCTAAATGACTAATAATGCAAAATTATCAAAATGCTTAAAAGCTGTGAAATCAGGAGCTATTTAACTACACAAAAGAAACCAATATATTAAAGCTAAAAATACTAGTCTACCTCCATGACAGACGCCTTAAGCTCTTCGGAAAAAGTGAGACGTTTAAATAGTCGGCTCTGTAATTCCTTGCACATAAACGCCAGGAGATCACCCATACCATCACCGGAATGGGCGGAGGTAGGTACCATACTAACAAATTCACTAGGATTTGTATTCTTATAAAATAATTCCACGTTCAGCTCCATCATCGCAAAGTGTTGGACGACCTAAAAAAGAAAAACATAAGGCCAAGAAAAACGCAGAGGCAAAACAGCACAAATAGCAAATGAGATTCCGACAATTTAAAGCTTATTTGCAATGTTTACTAAATAATTGGGAAGAGAATGAAACTTGAACTGTGCTCAACGATTTTTTCCAGTTTTATTGTAAATCAACGACAATAATTGTGAATTAATGGAAAGGAAAGGGCTAGTTGGAAATGGTCATTTGGTGAGCATGATTTGGCCAACAGTCTAGGAAACCTGAAGAGCTGAAATCAAGACTTTACATACGTAGCATTTTCTTATAAATAACTTTTAGCTATGGGCAAAACAAAGCCTTGGCCGAATGATCTTATACCGAGTTTAACAACCAGTTTAGACCGAAACGATTTAAGGCAAGTACATCAGAGAAGTAAAAAATTGAAAGCGGGTTTCAAATTTTGATCAGTATAACCCCGAGTGGCAGTAAAAGACGGTATCGAGTCCATAGTTTACTTAGCGATCCAGCAATTAGGATGGTGCTCACGAGCCTACAGCAGAAGTTCGAATGATAACACTTCTTATCTGCAGCCTTGAAAATTTGCGCATCATGTCATCATCTGCAGTAACCTTGCAAGAAAACACATGTGTCTTCCTACAAAAGATATGCAGAACCAACGTGCTTTGCATTTACATTGTCTGATCTTTTCATTAAAGCTAAGAGCTTTTACCAATAATGACTATGACAAGACACGCGGACCTCGCGATTGGAGCAGATTTATAAGGTTTGTGAGGACATCCTGCCCGAAGGCTTCCTCACACACGCAACGACCGGCCTCATACACTTAATGATGAAAAAAATCAAAGCAAACTCGTTTTCCTGAGGTGAAGGTTATTGTAAAATAGCCTTTGCTGACAATTCGATTGAACTTCGAATTAAACTACCACAGATGGCCATTTCCACACGATTGTTGTTAAACCAGCTAGTCCAGGTTTCAGCATTTCGTTTCTTATTAAGATTCTTAATACCAAACAAAAGATACTGATGTGAAAGATAGTTAAAATATTTCGGAATTAATTAACTAGATTCCCAAACGCAACATTAAAGTGCGGTTTAAATAATGGTACCCACCTCCTTCAAACGCGTTCTGAAATCATTTAGAGTAACCTCAGACTGCCTTGATAGAGCCTCCTCAACTGCAAGGTTTGGATAACTTTTCCATTGGTACAGTCGGTCAATTTTATTGAGAGCCACTACAAATGGCGTTTTTCGATTCAACAGTATCCGAATTGATTCTTTGGTTTGCTCTTCGATACCATGCATTAGATCAACAACAAGAATTGCGAAATCACACAACGACGAACCTCGTACGCGTAAATTACTGAAACAAGGAAATGTAGCTAGGAACACTGTTAGCATACTAATAACATACATTAAAACTACTTACCTAAAAGACTCGTGCCCTGGAGTGTCAATAATCAGTAGACCAGGCATTTGCAAATCTTCTTGTTTGAAGTACTTACACATGCGCGTAGCATGGATAATATTTTCTCTGGGCACATTAGTTGCACCAATCTGTTGAGTTATACCTCCGGCCTCGCGGTCCTGTACGTTCGTGTTGCGTAACTTGTCGAGGATTTTAGTTTTTCCCGTATCAACGTGTCCCAAAACACAAATAACGCCAGACCTAAGTACCTTTTGTGCTTCAGCATTCTCACTTTGTGCATGTTGTTGCTAAAAGTTTTTAATATGATGCATAGATACCTGAAGTCGAACTCTCGCCTGCTCAATCAAGTTTTTTTTCTCTTCATCAGTGAGCTGAGTTTCGGACAATTTAAACCCTTCGGACATATCGGCTTCTTGATTAAAATCCCCAGTCCCAGGATTAGATGGATCCAGATCATTTACTTCAACTTCTCCACTACTGTGATCACTTTCAGATGTCGCACCTATTTGCTCAGACGGAAGATTTTCGGTCGAGAGAAGATCAGAAGCTAGGTCCTCCCAGTCATGAACACCATTGCTCGGCTCCTCTAAAACCACATTTTCCGCATCATCCGTAACGACAGGTTCCGATGGGACGGAGGCAACTTCTACCTGGGCTTGAGGCCGCTTCTTTATCCTTGAATACGTTCGATTTTTAAGATCACTTTTGGCGGCACTAAGATCCAGACCACGAGCTTGAGCTAGCTCCATTGCTTTTCTTCTGTCCTCCCTTTGCTTGTCAGTTAACAGCCTTCCTTCTTCTTTAAGACGTTGCTTCCTTTCTTTTTCCTTTTGCTTCCTACGTTCGCGCCTTTCAGCTTCAAGACGACGTTGCTCATCTAGCCTACGTTTCTCCTCTTGAAAGCGACGCTCTTCCTCCTCGGCCTCCTTCCGCAGTCTTTCCTCTTCCTCACGCTGCCGAGCGAGGTGCTCTTTGATTGCATTTATTTTCTTATTAACTTTTTCTTTTTTTATATCCTCTTTAGTGGGTTTGCTATCCTTTTTAACAGGCTTCTTCTTATTTTTTTTAACTTGATCAAAGGTAGATGGCACCTCATTGGTGTCATCAGTTTGGTTTACAGAACAATCTGCCATTACAATAATACGGCTCACAACAAAAAGTACACGAAGACCGTGATTTTCACGAGATTAAGATGGGCGCCTTCCAACCCATTATAAACCAACAAACAGCAAGTAAGTAAAATTCGATCAACAACAATTTTCATTTATTAGGGTCACACAAGAGCAATTTCAATATAATATGTACAAATTACAAATCGAAACCTTCTACAAGTAAAAGCACTTTAAAAGAGGGCCTTTAACCGTAAACCAAAACTTGGATTTTTCTGGGTGGATATTTAGAGAAATGCTTGTTTTGTAGTTTAATTATGTCAAAGTGTGCACTATAAAACACAATTTAACTAGTTTGCTTAATATGTTGTTTAATTTAAGAGATATCTCTGACCTTCCCGAAAATGCATTTTAGCACATTCGATGTCCACTCACATGACGCTTCATGTTTATTCCGATTAACCCGCAAATAACGTAACAATATTTTGACGCAATTTTCTGCCTTGTGCAACCAAACGGTATGCATGAGCACCGATTTTTCAATAAAAAATTGACGATAATGTACTTTAAGATTAAAAATTTCTAACAGTTTCATCTTTTTCCCAACGGATTATTTATGAGGTACTTGGTAGAGCTTTAGAATTAAAAGGTCATTGTGACAGTGTATTTTTGTAAAAAAATTAAATATTTTTAGAAGTTTTTAATTTTGGATCTCTTAGACATGCAGTTGAGAAAGTAAGTGTGGATTAAATAAGTAGTTAATCGTCTGCAAATATCACCCATATCTTACGTTTCTGTCACTAGCTGGCTGCCTATCATGACATTGGAACGTAAAGAAACATAGATTTTGCTGATACCAGCATGGCAAAAATATGCCGGTGACCTTTTAAGACGCTGCGACCTTCCAAGCTGCGCCGCTCATAATATACTGCTCTTTATCAGACCTTGTATTTAGTTGGCTGCGTATTCTTCTTGCAGGTCATTTAAGAGCCCAGACTAATAAAATTGGCTGAGGTCGGCGTGGTCCCATACTTCTGCGTTCTACTACGTCACAAAATGCAGAATTCTTTGGCCCCAATATGATGCAGGCTTATTGAACTGAGCAAGTTTTAAGAACCAATTGCAAGCAAGAACCAAGTGTCAGGTGGCGTCCTTCAGCGTCCACAGAAGTGATATGACAGATACCATATTTGCGCGTAGTCATTGACCGAAGGTAAAGAGGATGGCATGAGGGCGGCATCACGTGTTCATGGACGTGGCTGCTGCCTTTATAGTTCAGGGTAAGAATTGAATAATGTTCCATGAGCTAACTACCGAATAATTCACAAGTTTTCCGCCGTTATTGTAACGCCAAGGAACAAACGATCAAAAGAGCGAGATAATCAGGACAAGACTAAAAAAAGAACTAGTTTCCCCCAAATGGCTGTGTCTGTGTCATGTCTCCATTAATGTTGTCCATTTTGGTCATGAATACGAAAACGAACCCTGTTCTTCATGGATCTGCAGGACATCGCCGCAGAGTGCAGGTTTATGACATAGGCCGCTTAAATTTGATCGCCATCACGAAGTCGAGGGGGGGCTGGTCGATGTGGGAGACTTTTTAATCTGTGTTGACCTTCCAGCCAGATCCCACAGTCTTTAAAGTAAGCTATTCAAGAGGACGAGATACCAAGTGAAATGGCCTGGATAATTCATAAATTCCCCGAACAAGGAGCTGACGCCCAAATTGTAAGTTATTTTTTTGCAACTCGGATTCATTACTACACAGGTCTGGCGGTCGTAGTTATCACTCGGGAAAAATGTCCTCGACTACACGTTAAAATTTACAACTTTTCGAAGAAGTCTAAAAAATGAACTATGATAATTCAAAAAAGCTATCAAAATAAGCATACAAATGCTAGGTCAGGTTCCTAACCAATTCACCTAGTGACGTGAAAAAAAACATCTCTGAGGAGCCTTGGTTGAATATTAGTAATCTGTTCTCGTCGCCAGCAGATGCACATGATGTTTCTCGATGGCACCATCCTCAAAGAAGTACGTTCCATGGCACGCAGTGTAGGATATCCGGCTGTTCTGCAATGGCCGCATCTCGTAATGGGCCCGGTCCAGGTAGGTCCCTAGGTTCATTTGATTCATGTCCCGTCACTCATGCGTCAGGCGCTCAGGCAATTCATATCTGCAGGTCTCTGAAGTAGGTTTGCGTATTTCATGATATATATAGGTGTTGAATGCCCTTTGTTCAACCCAAGACGGCTCATTATGAAGATCTTTAAAAATTAACTGGTAACAGTGTCGATTAAGATTAAGGTCGCGTATCATATCGTGAGGAAAATTAGTAAGTTTAAAGACGTCCCACCCACCATTATGGGTAGTTTATATCAACATTCCTCGTTTTCATAATGGAAAATGCCACACGATTTTATGCCAATGTAGGATTTCCTCGACTGGAGCATGAACGAGAACATACCTCCTCAAAATTGTTTAAGCCTTGGGTGTCATGAAGCACCAACAGGGCGCAAGCAGAGAAACTGGGTAGTATAAACAATTTCAACACTAGAACCATTAAACTCAAAGGAGCTAAACCAAATAATTTGGCGCATGGCGACACGACGAGGGGTCAAATATAACTCAAATTCACAATTCGGAGCAAGAATATGTAGATGTTTCTGCCTGAGATAAGTTAGGTCCGTGTTGCACAATGGTCACTCTACATGATGTTCTGACAGTTTAAGCATGTCCCCTTTGACAGCGACCTCGACTTAAACCCTCAGTTAATCAGCAGAAAATTAAAAGTCATTGCAGAATTATTTGAGAAGAAAATCAAAAAACCATCGTCTTCAATGTAGGTATTACCCATTATCATTATAAGGAAAATGAATGGAGCCAATTAATAAAAGGTTAATGAGGTTGCAATTAGGATAACTTTCTTATTTCGTGGATGGACGTCACATTAGATGTTCTGAATAGGGCTCAATCCGCCCTGCATCCATCGTTGTTTCTGCTTGGTTGCGAATCTTCCTCAAAGGCCATTTAAATCCAACTAGATCAAGGATTGGCTGAGCTTGGGGTTGCCCAACCTGTCTGCGACGCTGCAGATCGCTCCTATAGGCTTCGAGCACATAATGAGGATAAGGCTGAGACAAAACGAACGCTTTACTGAGAAAAAAATGGCTACACTACTGTAGAATACCCGAGCGCAAGTAGGAATAAGACTGGTACAACAGAACAGGATTTATTGACCACTCACATGGCAGAGCCCCACGTCAGGTGCCTTCCATGCGAGTAAACCACGATGGCCACGCCACTCATTATATACCGCTCCTCGTGTCTTCCTCTGGTTGCCTTCATCACTTCCTCGCATGCCATTGGAACACAGATAGACAGAGGATTGACTGAAGCCAGTGCCCAATGTCTGCGCCCCGATGCGTGGACACATTGCCTCTTTCTTAGTAGTGAAGCTGTCCTCAGCTTCTGGCTTCGTCCATCGCGCTATTCAGGATTGTTAAAATATCCAGTTTGACACTACCCGCATGCCATTGGATCGCAGAGAGACACGGGATTGGCTGCGGCCAGGTGGTCCAATATGTCTGCGCCCTAATCCGACGCCACACTGCATCCCCATCAGCAGTGAAGCTGTCCTCAGCTTCTGGCTTGGACCACCGCACTGTTGTTGATATCCAGTGTTGGTAAAATATCCAGTTCGACACTCCCCGCACCCCACATCTGGCAGGATAGTGACCCATGCGAATAGTTGACGAGGGACTTTGCTCTTGTAGACTTGCAGGAAGGACTAATCATTCATCGAAGGTCCATTCGCAGATGCAGTCCAGCTGGCTTTCTCTGTCCAGGTCGTCGTCGCTGAGTTGCCAATGCATATTCAGACGCAGTAGTCCTAATCCCGGGCAATGTCTATGGATCCATTTGTTTTTGGACATCGGATGAACGCCATGACAAATCCACCTGGCATTTAAGGGTCTTTGCCTGTGTTGACCATAGAAGAGTAAGGGCTGGGTTCGATTTGCGTTATTC